ATATTAGATAAATTTATTTCGATGTAAATTTTTAAAATTATGTTGTTTAAAAAAAAAGAAATTGTTTACAAAATTCCTTTTTAATAAAATTATCTATAATATTAATTTATGAAGATATAAGTTTAGTTTTTAGCAAAAAATTCTTTGAAGTTTATATTATTTTTGTAAATTAAAGTATACTAATATTTAATCAAGCTCTATTTATATTACTTTATCTGAAAATGAAATACTAATCTAACAAACAATAAAATATAGAAGAAGAAACAAACACATGTTTGAAAAACATGTATAATATAGAAAATTTGAAACAATCTATTTGATTAAAACACTTATTATATAATATTATTATGTTTGAAAAATATTTATTATACATATCGTAAATATGTGATTATTATAATATATACCAATTTACCAGTGAAAACAAGATGTTTATATAACTAACTATAAACGAAAACAAACATCTGCGCAGTTGCGCGGGTCAAAGTCTAGTATTCCATTATTTTTCTTACAAATCGATTTAATTGATAAATTGCATATACTGTACCAAATTTTTTTGTTCGAATCACTTTTTTATTATTTTTAAAGAAAACTCGAGTTATTTGATAAATGTTTTATGGAAAAGAAGATGCGTGAAATCAGAGAAAATGGTAAGAATCTCAGCCGTTCGTTCTGAGGTAAACTCATCTCGTTTCGACCTTTCCTTTCTTAACGTTTTATGTAATTAATAAATAAAATATTCTGTCGATTTGGTGAGTTTCTATTCCTGGTTAAGTTCGGTTTGTTTTTGTATTTATTTATTTTACTGTGTTCGTTCAGATTCGTCGTTACTAAGCTAGGTCAATTGATTCTTTTTCATTAAATTGCCCAGATTTGGGTATTTAACTGAAATTTTCAGTTTCTCAAGCATTAGTTAGGAAAAAGAAAAGGAAAGGAAAATTTTGAAGCTCTTTCTCTCGTTTGCAAGATATATATATATAGGTAAAAAAAAATCTGCAAAAATATATAAAATATCTTATGAAATCCTTAAACTCGTGTCTATGTGATTGATTGGTGGTATTGTTTAATTGTTGTTGATCCCCTGCATTCAGTTTTAGGGTTTAGGTCTTTTGAGTGTTTCATTCTTGTATTGATAACATTGGTTTTCTTTATCTTTTGTTGTATATTTTTCTCAGTTTTGGCTCTCTGATCTCTCTCAATCACAGAAACTTAGCTTCTCTTATGGAACATCTAACTGAATCTCAGATCAACGAGGTTAGCTTTCGATATTAACTAGTATCTGATGGATAATTGAATCGATCAATCTTTTTTGTGTGTGTATGTGGTATATTATTCTTTATCATTCAAGATAATCTATCTGCTTGAATCAAACAACACTTTAGACATTCTTGATTACCTGTGTCGACATTAGTTTCGTATCTTGTAAATACCTAATCATCCTTTTTTTTAATCTTTATTTAATTCGTTTATGCTGAATTCTAGTATTATTGCTTTGGGTACTCTGTTCTTCATTTTTAGTGTTTGTTTGAACTGATTTCATCAACTGGTAATCTATTTTACAGGATATGTCTTTAAAGAATCACTCTCCAGACAAGGATACGGACAAAGACACTAACATGGAACCACCTACTAGTCCACGTCATCGAAAGGTAAAGAGTTTTATTCTTATTATTATCTGATGCAATCCAGAATGTTTAATTCTTACATGATTTTTTTCTTTTTTTTTTTTGTATATGTTAAGGTTATTGCTAGATGGTTACCTGATGAAGCGCAAAGACCAGTCGTTGATGAAGCTCCTGTTTTCTCACCATCATTAGAGGTACTCATTGCTTCTTTTTGTTTCATTTTTTTTTCTTTTTCATGTTTTGAGTTCGTCCTCGTTTTTATAGGAGTTTGAAGATACACTTGCTTACATAGAAAAGATACGTCCATTAGCTGAACCGTATGGTATCTGTCGAATCATCCCACCATCCTCATGGAAACCTCCTTGCCGGCTTAAGGAGAAGAGCATATGGGAGCATACAAAGTTTCCCACACGGATTCAGACCGTGGACCTACTTCAGAACCGGGAGCCTATGAAGAAGAAACCCAAAAGCAAGAAGCGTAAACGGAGACGAAACTCCAGGATGGGTTCTTCTAGGAGACGATCTGGTTCTGGCTCTGCCTCTTCTCCCTCTGAACCTGAGGCAGAGGAGAAGTTCGGGTTTAACTCTGGTTCAGACTTCACTCTGAAAGAGTTTGAGAGATACGCTCTGTATTTTAAAGACGCATATTTTGAGAAGAAAGACTCTGTTGCTGAAACGAAATGGACACCGTCTGTGGAGGAAATCGAAGGCGAATACTGGCGGATAGTGGAGCAACCAACAGATGAAGTGGAGGTATAGATAGAAACATGCCATTTCACCAATAAAAACACAGACAATTATAAACAAACTAAGACTAAATTCGTTTCTTTCGCTTGTTTCAGGTATACTATGGAGCTGACTTGGAGAACAAGGTGCTTGGAAGTGGATTTTACAAGGAAGCGGATAGAGATATGGATCAGTACGTAGTCTCTGGCTGGAACTTGAATAACTTACCGCGTCTCCCTGGCTCTGTACTCTCTTTTGAGGACTGTGATATCTCTGGAGTTTTAGTCCCATGGATCTATTTTGGAATGTGTTTTTCTTCATTTTGTTGGGTTAGTACGCTTTTTGAATCTTTATTTATGAGTTGTATAGCCCCAGTGATGACACATGGTTGACCAACTTTTTTCCAGCATGTGGAGGACCATCATCTGTACTCACTGAACTATCATCACTTTGGGGAGCCTAAAGTATGGTATGGCATTCCAGGAAGCAATGCAACAGCACTCGAGAAGGCGATGAGGAAACATCTACCTGATTTGTTTGAAGAACAGCCTGATCTACTTCATAGCCTGGTTACTCAATTTTCTCCTTCAATCCTGAAAGATGAAGGAGTCCAAGTGTATCGGGTGGTTCAGAACTCAGGGGAGTATGTACTGACGTTCCCAAGGGCTTACCATGCTGGATTCAACTGCGGTTTCAACTGTGCAGAAGCGGTTAATGTAGCTCCGCTTGATTGGTTGGCTCATGGACAGAACGCTGTTGAACTTTACACTAAAGAGACAAGGAAGACTTCTCTGTCGCATGACAAACTTCTCCTCGGAGCAGCTTATGAAGCTGTAAAGGCTCTTTGGGAACTCTCAGTAGGAAAGGAAAATACAACAAAATTGAGATGGAAGAGTTTCTGTGGGAGGAATGGTACACTTACCAAGGCTATTCAGGTAATGAAAAACCGGTCACTACTTATGATTAGTTAGTTTCTAAAATGCTTAGTTAGTTTTTCAAAAATGTTTTATAGGCTCGGTTACGGATGGAAGAGGAAAGACTTGCAGATCTTGGTAGGGATTCTTCTTCGAGTTTGGTGAAAATGGAGAAGGACTTTGATTCAAACAGTGAAAGGGAATGCTCCTCATGCTTTTATGATTTGCATCTCTCTGCTTCTGGCTGCAAGTGCTCCCCTGAAGAATACGCGTGCCTTAGACACTCGGACGATCTATGTTCATGTGAAGAGAAGGATAGATTCGTCCTTGTCCGTTACACCATGGATGAGTTAAGCTCGTTGGTCAGAGCATTGGAAGGGGATATAGATGATTTAAAGATATGGGTTTCCAAGGTGTTAGGTACTGAACTCAGTGATGAAGATGAGAATAAGACTGGTTCAGTTATCAACGAGGAAAAGAAGCTAGAGGAAGGTTCGTTTGATCTGAATATTGACTTAGAGTTGGAACATCATGAAGACATTAAAGAAGAGGTCAGCACTTCAGAGAACTTTGATGTATCGGTCGAGCCTATAAACCTTGGTTTCTTGAATTTTGGAAAGCTTTGGTGCAATAAGCATGCTATATTCCCTAAAGGTACAATCTCTTTTGTTAATACACTATTGACTTAATCATAATTTTTTGTTAAAAGGTTGTTGATGTTTTTGGTTTTTTTTTTTAACAACTTTTACAGGATTCACGAGTCGTGTCAAGTTCTACAACGTGCTTGATCCAACAAGAATGAGCAATTACATGTCCGAGGTTTTGGATGCAGGACTCATGGGTCCATTATTCAGGGTATAAAACCTTTCCCTAAATAAACACTATTGGTATAAATTTAAATCTTCTAAAGCAACAACTGACTTTTTCTTCCTTTTCAGGTTACTCTGGAAGAATCTCCAGACGAGCGCTTCTTCAATGACTCAGCGCAAAAATGCTGGGATATGGTGTTACAGAAAGTTAAAGATACATCCACAAATCTTGGTCTTCCTATTTTATCGCGGTTTGATAGTATTAACGGGCTTCAAATGTTTGGTTTCCTCTCACCTTGTATAGTTGAGGTAAAATTGTCAAATCCAACTCTTCTTTGAAATCTGTTCATGGATTTTACTCTTCACACAACTTAATTATCTCTCTACAGGCCATTGAAGCTCTTGACCCGAACCATAAACTCGTAGAGTACTGGAACCACAAGAACCAAACTCAATTCGAGTCAAAAGATCACTGTACCAAAGGAAAACTTTTCGGAGTAGATTTGATGTAAAAGAGAAAACTCGAAGAGCGACAAGACTGTTCCAACTCCAAGACAACCTTTTAGATATTTTGATAGAAGTTTTTTTTTTTCTGATTCCTTTCTTTTTGGGGGGAGCATTTATTCAGTATCTTTTGGTCGTTTTTGCTTAAGTGAACAAATAACCTAACCTTAGTGTTAGAAATGTAAACTAGGGGAACAATAAAGTTCGGTTCTTTCGGTATAGAATATAATAATAAAGTTCGATTCTTAATAATAATACAAAATCTCTTCTTGGACACTATAGAATGTAACAAAACATGAGTCTCAAATCCCTGCCGCCATTGATTGATTACGCAAGCTCGAGTTACACACACATCTCTGAAAGCGCAAAACTTGAACGAATAGAACGTTATACACAGAATCTTGAAAACTAGAAAACTTAGAGGACTAAAAGTGAAAAAATGCAGAGTCAGAACAGAACAGAGCGAGAGCCAACGGGAGCAGGTAGGAGATTGTTGAGAGATGTGCGATGGAAACAGAAGCAGAGGTTAGATTGTAGTTGAACTCAGGACGAGGGCGACGACGACCTTGACCTTGAGGCAAAGGACGGAGACTATCGGCCAAAGCAGTATCACCACCGTTGTCAAAGTCTCCGTAACGAGAGAAATCAAGCGGCGAAGCTACGCCGTGGATCGCAATCGAGGACGAGAGGAAAAGATCCGGTTCGGAGACGAGAACGCCGTCGACTGTGAAATCGGAAACGGAGTTGTTGGTGACGACGATCGAGTTTCCGGGGAGGAGAGTGGGGAGGCGAGAGAGAGGTTGCAAGATACGGAGTTCGGCGAAGGAGAGGCGCTGAGGAACGATGTGGTAAGCGACGGAGAGACGACCGGCGTTAGTTGTGCCGCCGCCGTCGTTGGAGGAGGAGATGCCGGCGGCGTCGAAATCGTTGGGGATGAAGATGGTGGCGGAGAGAGGTATTCCGAATTGGTCGTCTACGGCGGAGAGGAAATCGGCGGCCCAGTCGCGGAATTCGCCGGCTCCGATCATGGCTTGGATGATTCTGTCGGCGTGTTGCTGATCTTGAGGGGTGAGTGACGGAGGGAAAGCGGCGGGAGTGAGAAATGAGACGGTGGCGATAAGGAAGAGGAGGAGGAGATGGCTTGAGTTGGCCATCGGAGAATCAAATCGGCGGCGAAGTAGGTTGTTACAGAGAGAGATGAGTCAATCTTGGAGTCTTTAGAAGTTCGTTACAAGCTAACTGACTTTTATAACTGCTAAAATAAAATAAAAACTGCTAAAATCATATTAAGGATTGGGATTGGTTAGAAATAACCGGATTCTAGAGTATTTTGGTTTCCACTTTTGTTAGCTTGGGTTCAGACTAATAACGGGGGCTCTACGCCTTACGATTATGTTCTACTATATTTACTAGTTGCATACCCCCGCGGAGCCGGAGATCATTGATGTTTGCCTGTGTTTTCTTTGTTGTTGGTTTAGTGGATTATTCTAATAATACCAAATAATGATGAAATGGAAAGAATGTAGCAAGAGTATAAAGTGAAAGTATTATATATATAATGTGGTAAATGTTATTTATATGCGAAGTAAGGTTTATAGGAATAACGAAATTATAATATAGTTTCTAGTGTATAATAATATGTGTCTATCTTGTTATTTATTTTTTTATGTTGGAAATAGTTTTTATATCGGAGGTCATAACTTGATATAATTATTTATTTATAGTATTTATATTTGTACTAAACGATTTATCAATTTGAAAATAAATTTAATTTAAGTTAATATTTGTTGTTTGGGTTTCGATAGATAGGTTTGGTCGTGTGGATATGTTTTTTTGTAAGTTTGGATTTTGTTCATAAATAATGTGGCATTTTTATTTACGGCATCATCGACTGTGGAAATCCTTTCGCCGGAGTCTGATAAAAATTAAATTATAGTAACTATTAAAAATTGAAGAGAAATTACATAGTTATTTTATAAATAAGAAAAAAAACTTAAATTTTGTTATTTTATTTTATTTCACATACATAATTTTTTGAAAATATATATTAGAAAATATGTTCTAACAGAAATATATATTAGGACATGATAATGCCGCGTGGAACTCGTTTTGTTTTTAGTGATGAAATGGAAATAATGTAGCAAGAATGTAAAGTGAAAATATTGTATATATAATGTGTTAAATGTTATTTATATGCGAAGTAAGGTTTATAGAAATAACTAAATTATAATATAGTTTCTAGTGTATAATAATAGGTGTCTATCTTGTTTTTTATTTTTTTATGTTGGAAATAGTTTTTATAGTGGAGGTGAAAACTTGATATAATTATTTATTTATAGTATTTATATTTGTACTAAACGAATTATCAATTTAAAAATAACTTTAATTTAAGCTAATATTTTTTGTTTGGGTTTCAATAGATAGGTTTGGATATGTTTTTTTGTAAGTTTGGATTTTGTTCATGAATAATGTGGCATTTTTATTTACGGCGTCATCGACTGTGAAAATCCATTCGCCGGAGTTTGATAAAGATGAAATTATAATAACTATTAAAAATTGAAGAGAAATTACATAGTTATTTTATAAATAACAATAATACTTAAATTTTTTTTGTTTTATTTTATTTCACATACATAATTTTTTGAAAATATATATTAGAAAATATGTTCTAACAGAAAATATATATTAGGACATGATAGTGCCACGTGGGATTCATTTTGTTTTTTTTTTTTGTTTTTTGGGCTGTTCATTTTTTTATCCTTTTTTAATATTATTTGGGTTTGAGTTAATCAAACTTTAGGATTTGTCCCACTATTTTGGGTTTTAAACAATAAGTCCAGAGGGAAAAAAAAAATAAAAACATTAAAACTAAAAAAACTCATATGATAATAATTCAAACAAAAAAAACTAAAATACATAACAGCTGCGTGGTTTGAACCCACACACTTGTGGAATTCATTAGATGCCTTATATCACTCGACTAAAGTATATTCATTGTTCACACTCATTTTAAACAAATTATAAGCTTTTAAATTTTAAATGCGCGGGACCTACAAACTTGTTGACGTGGACAACTTTAGAAGCCTTAGAAGTGATTTATTATAATATAGACTATAGGTGTTTTATTACATCATGTGCAGTAATAATTTTTTTAAAACCTAAATATATTTAAAAGAAAATTTATTAATATTATATATTTATTTATTTTAACTAATATTTAATATAAATTTAATTTAATTAAGCGAAAAATTAAAAAAGGGTTTATTTTAAATTTTATTTTTAATAATATATATGTAATATATTTAAAATTTGAATCTTTGAATTTTTCTATCTATTTATTTTGGTTAAATGTAATAAATCAACTTGTATAAAATTACTAAGAAAATTCATATTAAAATTATATAGTTATTAAAAAATTATAACTAAACAATATTTATAAAATTTGTCGATACCAAAAAAAACTAGTGATATCAAGATTAAAAATTTATTAATTTTTTAAAAATATGAAATTTTTTTTGAAAATATTAGTAATAAAAACTTTATAATTATAAAAGTAAAATTAAATAACATTTCAAAATTTATAATGCATATTTCAATATATATATTTTTTAGTCATTCATAAGTGGAGTACAATACCTACACAGTTCATCATCATAACTCAAACCCTATAACAATAAGTGTAGTGGTTATAACGTTTGCCTTACACGCAAAAAGTCTACAGTTCGATCCTGGGCAGCACCATTAATTTTAAAGTTTTGAAAAAAAAACGCTGTGTTTTGGTGAAAGAAAAGAAAGGTGATTTTGAGGGTGATTTTCTAGGTTTTCTCGATTTGATGGAGCTGGCTATTCCGCCGAATTTACCGGGTTCTCTGGGAAATGGTATGAATGATCGGGAGATGGGGGGAGGTTCTCAAGGGTTAGAGAATCAGTTGGAAGGCTTAGATTCACCGGGAGTTGGCTCTTAAGAGGAAGGATTGGGTAACAGAGTAGTTTTGGTTGGTTCTATAGGTGATGGGTCAGAGATCTTGTGAACGGTTCTCCGGCTGATAGATCGATGGGAAAAGTGGAGGTAAATGAAGGTATGGTTTTGATTTTGAAGAAGGCCGATCACATCTGGGTTTCTGTGGCTCAAGGGAAAAAAGTTTGGAAGAAATTTGAAGTAAAGGTACAAATTAAGAGAGGAAAGCAAACGGTGGAGATACTAGAGGTGGTTAACAATCCGACTCCACTGTGGGAAGATTTCGTTGTGGGGAAGTTCTTAGATTTTGCTCCTCATGTTGCAAAAGTCCACATGGTGTTAAACAAAATCTGACGATATGGTGATTTAAATGCGAAGATTGAGGTTTATGAGGTTAATGCCACAACAATGAGATTCAAAATTTTAGATCAAAAAGAACGGGAGAAAGTATTAAGGCGTGGGATGTGGAACATTATAGGAGTTCCTATGATTGTTTCGAAGTGGACTCCTAGAACGGAAGAGGAAAAGTAGGAAGAAGACTCGATACTCATGTGGATTCACTTAGCAAAGGTGCCACTTCATATGTTCTCTTGGGAGGGTCTCAGTCTTATTGTTAGGTGCTCCGGGTTTTCCAATAAAGCTTCACCCTGAGACGCTGGCTTGTACGAGTTTTGAGGTAACAAAAATCTTTGTAAATGTGGACGTGTCTAAAACTTTGCCTAAGGAGATTAATTTTACAAAGAATGGGAAGGAGTTCATGGTGGAGTTTCACTATCCGTGGCTATCTACTAGATGCAAGACTTGTAATAAATGGGGGCATGGTGAGAAAATCTGTGCTCTGAAAAGGAAAGAGAAGAGAAATACGTCTAGTTCAAACCCAAAGTTGAAATCTCCATCTCAGAAAGTTGATGATAGGAATATGTAGGGATAGAATTCAGGACACGGCGGGAGGGGGGAAAAGTAGTGATTGTACATAGGGATGTCAAAGTAGGGCTTGGGCCGCGGGACAGGCCCGATAAAACCTGTGGCGGGGCGGGTTTGGGCCTAGCATTTGGTATCCCGCAGAATTGCGGGCCTAGCGGGATGGGTCATTCGCGGGATGGGCTTTTTGCGGGACAGCCCAATGAAGACCGCGGTTCGCCCTAAGTACCGCTTCCTTGACTCCACTCCATTTCAGCCGACCTGAAAAAACAAAAAGAGAGAGAGAGCGAGAGAGAGAGAGAGCGAGAGAGAGAGAGAGAGAGAGAGTGACAGTGAGAGAAGGAGACGAGATCGGCGAGACTCGCAAAGGCTCCGCCGGACGGTGGTGGGTCTTCTTCTTCTTCTCCCGAAAGCTGTGACAAGAATCTTGTTGTGAGATGATTCTTGAAACTCTTACCACCGGAGAAGAGGACCCTCCATCGTCCGGTGGATGCTTGAGCGACGGATCTTGACGGATCTTGGCGGATCTTGAGTTCTCTCCACGCATCTTGATCGATCTTGACGAGTTTTGAGTTCTCTCTCCATGCATGCGACGGATCTGGTATTTTTTGATGTCTCTGTGTTTAATCTTTCTAGTTTTTTGAATATTCTCTAACTTTGTTCTTCAAGTTTCAGGTACATGTAAAAGTGGTTGAAGAGTAGTTCGATATCCGACCTCCTCTGAAGGTATTTTAGCTGTGGATTATTACTATTTTTCGGTTGATTATTAGTACTAATTTTTTGTATTTTCAGCTACATGCAAGAGTAGTTCGACATGCAATCTCCTCTGAAGGTAATTTTCTCTCTGTATTTTTCTGCATGTTGTTTGATTTATTTGATGTCTAATTTTAATTTTGTCCCTGCATGTACTTCAATCGGAGCTTCCATTCAAGTTACATTGAAGAGGAGTTGCCGGCGAGGAGTCCCTGCATGTTCTTCAAAAATTAGTTAAGTATTTTTTATCAAAGATAATTTATTTTTAATTTATAAAGGTTTTTAATATTAAAAAAATAAATATTATAATATAATTTACAAAGGCAGTATTTTAATTTGTTTGACTGTGAGAAAATTCAATATTATAATTTAATGTATAAAGGTTTTTAATATTAAAAAAATAAATATTATAATATAATTTACAAAGGTAGTATTTTAATTTGTTTGACTGTGAGAAAATTCAATATTATAATTTAATTTATAAAGGTTTAATAATTTAATATAATTAAGTAATATCTTATA